GAGCCGGCAGCTCCTCGGCGTGTCCCGCTCGCAGGTTTGGTTCCAGAACCGCAGGGCCAAGGAGAAAAGGCTGAAAAAAGACGCCGGGAGGCAGCGGTGGGGTCAGTACTTCAGGAACATGAAGCGGTCCCGGGGGACCTCCAAGTCCGACAAGGACAGCATCCAGGAGGAGGGGCCCGACAGTGACGCCGAGGTCTCCTTCACAGGTCGGTCCCCCGCAGCCCCGAGCCCAGCCGGGGCTTTGCTGGACTCGGCCTGGGCCCCCCGCTCCCCCCCCGCTCCAGCTCCCGCAAAGCCCCTTTCACCCCCTCGCTGCTACGTTAAGAGTTTTTAACCCGAGTATAAGGATCTAAAGAATATCAACCAAGGCGGGAGAAGCGATTTGCCGGGGGGGGACACACGACAGCCTGGCTGAGGGACCGCAGGGGACACCCCGCTCGCCCGCCGGGGGGGCTCTGTCCTGGCCAAAAAGGTGTGGGGAGAGCAGGGGGAGCCCCCGGGGTGTCGGATGTGCCGCCTTTCCCAGGGACTCTCGGAAAGATTAAAAAAAAAACAAACAAAAAACCAAAAACAGGGAGTCTGAAATCACTGAACGTTTCTATGGGCAAAAGTATGTTGAATTCTTTTTTTTTCTTTTCCCCCCATCCTATTAAGGGATGGTTTAATTTGCGTAGTTACTAGCTCGGGCTCCCGTCGCGGTTCGGTGCCTCCCCTGTGCTGTCTAAGGGAGATCGTTGCGGGTTCGGGGGTTTCTGCGCCGGGGGGTCGCGATTTTCAGAGCAGAGATTTCTGTTGGCAAAGCCGGGGACTCCGCAGCGACACCAGCTCTTGTCCCGCAGAGCCTCATCCCGCCCTCCCCGGCCCCAGGGCACCTGCAGTAGGAGCAGGATGAGGCCCCGGGCCGGGTTGTTTTTTTTTTTTGGGGGGGGGCTGATGCCTTGCAGCGCTGCGGGGGACCCATCCTTGCGCGGCCCCAGCTCCGGGCGACGTCCCCTGGTCTGTGCCCCCACCTGCGGGTGTGTGTCTTGTTTTTAGGAACACGGGAGAGAAGAAGCTGAAATGCAAAAGCTCGGTGCACGTCTTGACACAACCACGCGTGTGGAGTTCACACACAGAGCTTCGCAGCTCAGCCTCTCGGCCCCCCCCTGTTCCTAAAACCGATTTGATTTTCAAGTCTGTTTATACACGCTGCGCATCAGCATCATTAAATATGAATATACTATAAATAAGAACTAAAAAATGTTGAACAATTATTGATAGCTTGATGCCACAAACAGGTTTGTATCCTAGGCAACAGGGCAGCTCTCACCGGCCATAAAGCCCTTAACGAATGCAAACAATTTTTGCTGGTAACTTAAAAAATATTGCTCATTTTTCAGGAGTGTTTTTATGTCGTACAAATACATTTCATTAGCCCGTGTCTGAGCAGACAAATACTGCTCATTTAATAGCAGTCAAAGATGAGACTTAGCATTTTTTTTTTTTTTTTTTTTTCTTTGAGCAGTGGAGGGTTTTTCTTGCATTGGTGAGTGCTCAGGTAGCTCCTAAAAATGAAATCCGAATTCAAGATAAACCTTAAAACCAAATAGAAAATGCAGAACAAAAGGTGGAAGGACTTTGAACTCGCATTCCCTTTTAAAGGATTATTTTTAAATCGCAGTCTTATATTTTGATAGGTACTTTTCATGCGTATTTTTAAAATCCAAAATGTATTATTAAATGTTTGTACTCGGAAAAAAATAATAATCCTGTGGCTTTCTGTGAAGATCTGTCGACAAGGATGGGAATAATAAGGAATTACAAGTGGCAAGTGTGTGGCTGCTCAGTTCCTGCCCGTCTAATCTATTTATCCCCAGAGCCTGCAGGAGCTCCCGTGTGACCGCTGCCAGCCGTGACCAGTGCTCTCCCAGTAAAACCAGTCCCTTTCCCTTTCAGATGAGCCCTCTATGTCGGAAATGAGCCATTCCAATGGGATTTACAGCAATCTCAACGAAGCGTCCCCGGCTCTGGGGAGGCAGGCTGGGACCAACGGGAGCTTTGCTCTGGATCACAGCGGCATCCCAGCTCAGGACCAGTACCACGACCTGCGATCCAACAGCCCCTACGGGATTCCCCAGTCACCAGCTTCCTTGCAAGCGCTGCCAGGCCACCAGCCTTTAATCTCCAGCTTGGTTTACCCAGACAACGCCTTGGGCATCATGGGACAAAGCGGACAAGGGGTGCCCCAGTCCATGAGGGTCCTGGCCGGGAACGGACCCAGCTCCGACCTCTCCACCGGCAGCAGCGGGGGATACCCGGATTTCCCGGCCAGCCCGGCCTCGTGGCTGGACGAAGTCGACCACGCTCAGTTTTGATACGGGGTCCACCACCGCGCAGTGGGAAGGGAAAGGACTCGGTGCTGTTCAACGTCACCTGCTCTTGGCAATGGAGGAGGGACGAACTGTGAGTGCCGAGCGGGGCAGGAAAGCGTGACGGCGTGGGGAGAGCGGCCGTGCTGTCGGAGGGCGACCCGGCGGCGGGGCAGCGAGGACGGGGGGGGCGAAGGCGATCACGGAGCGTCCAGGCGAACCCCGTTATCGTGTCTTTACTAAACGCCGAGACTTGTGCTTTACAGATTTGATATGAGGTATTTTGCTTTCTGTTGTCAGTGCATTCTCCAAATCAAGGACTTGCTTCATCACCCACCCACACCGAAACCTTTTTAAGAGAAAATAAAGCCCTCATCCACGGTCAAAGGTGTGACAACGTCTATATTTCTATAGGAGAAATGTTAATAGTGAATCACTTCAAAAATCCATGGTAGAAAACTTTCTCTGTTCTTCCAGCAGATTTTTTAAAAAAGCGCACCGATGCGGTATGTTTTGTTTTATTTTGAATTCACATTAACTTTTCTAAAGTGAAATGCTCTATAATATGCCAATCACTTATCAACAACCCTTTTCCTTTGTAAGATGAAAATCATACGTTAATTCTGCTTCTCCCCTTTTTAATTTGTAGATTGCTAGTTTTATTCTCCCCTAGAAGCATTAAGCCGTGACTAGATGTATTTATTACCAAATAACTACACTTTTATCACGAGGTCGAGAGGTGATTTTTCTTGACCCGGGAACACTAGCAGCTCTGGCTTGTGAGTCTTACGCTTTTCTTTCAAATTCCTTTGCAACAGTTTTGCTGCAAAATGTCTCCAAAATCACCCTGATGTCTTGTGGCCAAATACCTTCTCGAGGCGGGGGGGGTGTCTCTCAGCGGGGGGGTTCAGCTGGTTTCCTTCCAGCCGTTCCCCAGGCACTGCTGGGAGCGTGTCGGGGCGAGCACACGCTTTCCTGGGGACACGTCTCGGTTCCAGGCATGTGTGTATTTCTGCAGACGTAGTGCGAGCCGATTGTGAGGAAAGGCAAGACAATATGTATATTGTTCTCTGTAAAAAAAAATAATTACTGAATTAACTGTAGATTATGTGAATGTCCAGTGTCTTTTATTTATATTCTCGCTTTCTCTCTGATGATCAAATACTTCAAGATTACAAATAAATTTGTCAGCTAAACTTTATAAATAGTCTTTTGCTAAATTCACATCAAAAGCATCAATACCTGAAACTAAAAGTCCTCAAAACTCAATGCCATGATTCCACGAAGTGTTGAAATACACTTTTCCCTTTGTAACAGAGGAGCAACGCCACCGATGTAAAAATGCTTTGATAAACAGAAACAAAAAATGGCAGTTTTGGAGGCTGGTAAGCCTTGGGTGATCCAACCAGTATTGCTCTGTGCCTGCACAGGCTTTGACCAAGCTATTTTCGACGGGTCACGGTTATTTTTCAGCATTCATCGCAAAAGGGGAAACATGTGAAGCGGGAATCTGTGGTGCTAAAGCGATAGAAAATAGCGGAGTCTGACATTGTCTGTGGGCAGAGCTGTGCGCACGAAACACGATTTGGTCAGATAGCGGAATATTTCAATGAGAAATCAGAAAGAAAAGAGGAAAAAAAAAGCCTGAGGAATTTAAGCTTGATGGAACATACAGCCCGTGTGCGCACACGCACACACGAGAGGCGCGTGCACGCGTGTATCTCCACAGACAAACGTCCGTGGTCACACTCCCCGGAGTGGAGCGAAGCTCTTTGCTGAAGTCTCTGATTTAAGAATCAGAGGGGAGACACTTTTTAAAGCACGTGGGCTCAGAGTCTCTCCCTCCCTTGGGAAGCTGGGGGATATTTGTACCGTTTTGGGTTTTTTTTTATGTATCAAGCATCTCTGCGAGCGCGTGGATCTGAGATGGGCACTGCCAGGGGCGGGGGTGCGGCTGCCACCCTGCGCTTTGGAGGGGACCCCCCCAGGAAGGGCTGTGCTGCCTGGGGAGGCTGCCAGCACCCCGGCACGATGTGCTGCCCCAGAGACCCCTGGAAGGTCCAGGCTTTCATTTTTACCTTTTCTAAAGGACGCGTCCCCACTGCTGGGACAGGGCGATGTGTCGCCGTCTCCGGTCTCTCCCTACAATCACCCTGGCAGCCGCGGGGGCACGTGTGTTTGCCACGACCCCCGGCCACCAAGCCCGGCCTCCTGGGCCTTTGCTCGGTGACGGTGGGACACCGACATCTCCAGAAGTGAGCAGATATTGACAGTGTTTGCAGAAAGATTTCGATTTACCAAATCCTTGTTAACCACCTGCGCTGTGGAAGAAGCACCTTGACAGCTTTTCCCCCCCCTCCTGTCACACGCGCACACAGGACACATCCCCGGTCTGCTCCCAGCCAGCTCTCAGAAGCCCACCCAGAGCAAAACGGGTCGGGGCGCGCTGCCTCAGCGCCGCAATACCCACTCAACAGAGAAATCACTCTTGTTTTCAGGAGACCCAGTCCAAGAGCTGTGGCAGGGAAGGATGAAACCCCGCTGCGTGACACTGGGGGGCTTTTGATACAGAAACACCAGCTTGGACCCGGGCGCAATACGTGCAAATTTACTGGTGTCGGAGGTTTTTCAGATGGGTGAAGCTGTGTGTCCTGTGGCCGAGGCAGAAATTTGCCTCGTTTGGGTCTGAGCTCTCCAGTCCAAGCCCAGAGCTGGGCTTGGCAGCAAGAGCCTGGAGCTGCTTTTTCTTCCTTCCCCAGACCCGTGTAATAAAGAGGCAACTGTTGCTGCTAGCCCGTAGGTAGGCTGCGGGGACAGTGAGCCTTGTGGAGCGATGAGAAAATGATGGGATTTTAAAAAGAGGATTACAAAACTTCACCCGGACAGAAAGCAAGAGTTTGTTGTTCGCAAAAATTCCGTGCTTTCTGTTCTCTTGCCCTGTGATGTGGAAACACCCCCATCAAATCTGGATATTTTGCATCAAAACAATTTGGCTGTTCAAGTATAAATAATATTTTCCTACAAAACACCCAAAAAGGCTATAAAATACTCTTATTTCCTAAAAAAAAGAAGGACGCAAGAACAGAAAGACAGAAATGCAGTTGATTTTAGGATGACGCTGCTGTTATAAAACCACGGTCTAGAAACTGGTCATCGAACGCGTATGTTATAGATATTTTTTTCAGGGTTTCCCTCCCAGCAAATAACGGGCGCTGTTGTTCCTCTCACCCTGGGAATTCCCAGCGGATGGCTGAATTTAAGAAAGGAAGAAATGCAAATTTCCCCCCCCGCCTCCCGCCTTTGTGCTTTGCTCTGAAAGGCAGAACGGGCTGAAAGTTGTGCTCATCTGAACGTGGAGAAAAAGCTCCCTGACCGTCCTGATATAAAATTCAGGGATTGTATTTCAGCTTCTCCTTTCAGGAGAGGCTCAGGGATTCCATTAATATAAATGCTTTCTTCCCGTTAAAAAGAAAACCAATTTGAAAGAAGCAAATAAAACTAACGCGATCCAACTGACGGACAGCTTGTAAAACCCAACCAGAATTAGGAAGAGGGGTTTTTGCGTTGCTCAGTTTTGCAGGTGAGCTTTACAACCTCCGCTGGTTTGCCTGAGTGCGTGACACGGGAGGCAGGAAATTTTTGGTGTTCTCACAGTGAGGAAAATCCAATGTGTGAATCTTTTTTTTTTTTTTTTTTTTTTCCGAACAGCACATTCATCTGTTGGAAGCAGTTGGGTCTCACCTTCTACAGATGCAGGAAATCCATAGTTCTTGTGTCAAACAGTAGAACTAATTTTTTTTTTTTTCTCATTCTGATTTTGTGTACGAGGCCAACGAAGCCAACCCCCTGGTGCTAGGAGGGGTAGACACCACCTCGCTGTTAGATATTTTCGGCAGTTTCTGGGGGGGTGTCAGCTCTGCAAGGGAACCTGATTATTGCCATGGCCGAGGCTGCCGGCGCTGGCCGCGGGCAGTGGCCCAACGTTTGCCAGCCCGGCCGGGAGCCACGGGGCCAGCGGGAGCCAAGTGCTGGGGGGTGGTTAATCCCCCCGGCTCTGCTCTGCGGCTTCCACCGGAGCCACAGCTTGAGGAGCCACTGTGAGCCGAGCAGACAGGGCCGGGGCACGCGGGTTTTTCCAGCCTGATCCAGGGGAAGGAGGTGGCGAAAGGGGGGTGTCCTTGGTTGGGGTCCTAGGGCTGGCCTGGGGTCACCCCGCTTTCCTGGGACACAGGGATCTTAGTGTCGCTTTGGGGACATTGATGCCTCTCTGGGGACATGGGCCAGGTGAGAGCCCTCGAGCACGGGGAGCAGGGAAGGTGACTGGGGCCAGGTCACCCTCAGGGTCCCCTCTGGTGGCTTCTCCCAGACGTGTCCGAGCACCCAAGCGAAGGTGTTCCCACCACCCTGCGCACCCGCACCGAGGTCTGGGGGGGACAAGGCAGGAGAGAGGAGACCCGCATCATTTATAATAAATAACATCTAAAAGCAGCAAATAACTTTGTTAAAACCTGACAAGAAAACCAAGCCAGCAAAAATATACACCAAGGAAAAAAAGCGAAGGTGTTTAAATTAAGGGGTTTTCTTCTTCTTTCTGCCGTCGTTCTGATGTGTCCAGCTGGGAGTGCATTTTGCACCAAAGCACACGGGCAGGTGTGTGTTGGCACACGGGTGTAGCGGGTAGGGAAGAGAGCCTGAGGAAAAACACTGACTTAGAATGCAGAAGCACTCCTTTTGTGCTCAGTCTTTTGCGGTCTGGGAATGAAAAATAATTTAATAGCCAAATATGTAAAGCCTCTGGGTTTAAATGGACTTGTCCGTGTTAGAACACATTTCCCTTGCAGGATACACACATATATGTGTGTGTGTGAGCGGGGTGTCGGGAAGGTACAGGTACTGCCTACAGAAACCGCTGACCATGATCCTCTGACAGAGGAAACTATTTAAACGGTCTTTTCTGGTTTATAAACAGAAACTGCACATTGGCTACCAAGATGTTTGGTCTTCTTTTTCTTTTGAACAAAGGTAATTTCTAACAAACGAAGAAAGGAGACCTGATGCAGCGATGCTGCTGGGACTGGCACCGGCCAATGCACCCCCAGCGCTGTTTTAGGGCTCCCGAGGGATGGAATATCCAAATGGAGGGGACCCGGGCCCCTTCCCCTTCCTCTGACTGATTTGCTGTGTGTGAAGCACTGAGATCCTCGCTCTAAACCCAGGGAAAACACAGAGGAGAGCTGACAACTGGCTCGGTCCTGACTCACCAGAGATGTTTTTTGACAATTATATACGACCTGGACCCTCCTCCGCAGCGCAGGCAGAGCTGCTTGCTCGTGTGAAGGAGAGATCCCAGAGATTAGGAGTCAGTAAATATTTCAGCAAAGATGCTGCGTTTTAACAGGCAACTTTATTTTTTTTTTTTTTTTTTTTTTTTTTTTAGCTCCCTGGTTATTTTTCCACTGCGGCCTGAAGAGCGTCTCTGTCTCCCTGGGGAGGGCAGAGCCACTTGCTGCCAGGATCTGGCTGGACGCACGTCCCGCATCCCGCTCCCACCCGGGCACCAGCCTCTTCCAGCTCCTACGCAGGAGCCTGTAAAAAGTCTCCGAGTCAGCTGGAGGCGAGTAAATCATTCCTGACAGCTACATCTCTACAGGGCAGTTAGAATTAATGTAACAATTTGGCGTTTAATGAAGCAACAACATGCTGGGCTGCAGAGAATAGCTGGGACCTGCTGCAGTCATATTATAATCCCTGAGGGACCCAAACGGCAGAGACTTCATCAGATGCTGACTTGTTAGGCTGAGCAAACGGCCGTGCGGGAGGAAAGCGGAGCCAGCCAGCGTCGGGCAGCTGAGCGCGGCTCGCAGGGACCAACCTGCGGCTCTGAGCCCAAAACCATGTGGCCTTTGTGCTCCGGGGGACGGGCATGGGGCTAAAACAGAAGGAGCAGCCCAGGGGGATACGAGGGGGCACGCTCTGCCGGGAGCTGCTCGCCGAGGGTCGCGGGGAGCAGGTCACAGAGATGCTGGATCAGTGTTGTCTGTGTAAAAATAGAGCTTGTTGGAAGGGTAAAGAAAATAAACCAGCATCGGAGGTGCCGGGGAACTGGCAGAACAGTGTGTTTTGGAAACGAAACCCAGCTGGATTGGGTGCTCTGCACCCTGAGGTCTCTGATGTCCACAGAAGTCGCAGGTATTCCAGCCG